CTCTATGCTCCAACAGCCCTAGCCTCCTTCCTACTTCAACAATTGAATCCTCATTTTTCTAAGAAAACGATCAATCACACAAAAACTACATCATCTTCCCAACTCCAAATCTACCTTCATCTTTACCCAGATTTTCAGGATTCACTTCTCTTACAGGGATCAGATGTCCTGTTTCTACCTACAGCCAACTTCTCCACGAGGGCACCATACCACATCTCTCAACTAGTTTGCTTCTACAGTTACCCACTTTCTGCCCTCATTACCAATATTTTCTTTTACTGAATCATTTCCTTCACCATACAAACATTATGTTAAAAAACAAACAAAAACTATCCTTGATCTTATGTTCCAATCATTTTTCTGCTTCTTTTTCTAGCAAAACCCTATTAGAGATTTGCCTCTGTTGCTGTGTCCCTTGTTTTCTTTAATCCATTTCAAACAGGTTTTCTTCCTTTCTTATTCTTCACTCATAGACCACCATGTTTCCAAAACCAGGGTTTATTGTTTGTGCCCAACCTCTGAACGGCCTCTGACATGGGTGACCTTTAAAATGCAGCTGTGTCCTCTCCTCATTTGGCTTCTGGGACACCATGTTCTACCAGAACTTTAATGTAGTTACTACTAGTTCCAGTACCATCTCTAAGTAAAACCAAGGTCTTCCTCTGCTTTTGGAGTTAGGAGACCACCTAAAGTAAAAGAGGTAATGCCCTGGCCGGTGTGGCTCAGTTGGTGGTGTCCTGTGCACCAAAAGGTTGCTAGTTCAAGTCCCAGTCAGGGCATATACATGGGTTAAGGGTTTGACCCGAACCGCCCCCCAGTAGGGGGCATGCAAGAGGCATCCAATCCAAGTTTTGCTCTCACACCAATGTTTCTTTCTCCCTCTCCCTTTCTCTAAAAATCAATAATTTAAAAAAAATCTTTTTTTAAAAAAAAAAAAAAGGTTAAACCTGATCGTACCTTTCTTAGGAAAATTATCTCTTACCTTTTCACCTCAGAATTACGAGGAATCTGTGCTTTTCTCTCAATACCAAGAAATAGGGTTTAAACATAAGACATTTTTGACTTGGAAATTTCACTTTCAGGCATCTATCCTATAGAAATCATACAAGTGTGCAGAAAATCCCTATAAGCACATGCATTTTTATGTTACTTATGGAAGTGAAAGCTGGATACAAGCCTAAATGTCTCTAAATAGAAGAATTATTTATTAGGTGGAGGGGGAAATAGCAAAACATTATTATCTATGGTATCATTGCAATTATATTGAACAAACAAAATGTGTATGTGTTTTTAAATGCATGGGAAAGTCTAGAAGGACATAAAGCAAACAATCTTGGGAGATAATGTGAGTTATTGAGGGAGGAGAAGTATGTCCTTTTCAAAATATTTCTTTGTAAATTACTTCATTTTTAGCATGTAATACTTTAGAATTGTTTTTCTCATGCTTAAAGAAAAGGTACATGAGGTATGTTTCTTGGGACTTTCCCTTTGGGATTACAAAAAGAGAAAGAAAAACACTCACTTGAGCTGTGATAGCATGTACACAAGTGACTCAAGCTTCAAATGAAAAACATCTCCGCCACTGTACGGATCTAGTCATTGTTTTCTAGATTATAAACAAATAGGCCTGCAAAAGTCACAGTCAGTGAGATTTAACTAAAGAATTGGGAGTTTTAAGAACTGTCAATATTGCTGTAACTACCATTTGCTGAGAACTCAGTGCCCATGTCTCCTTCGTGACAGCAGAAATATTTCTGGGCTACCTTACTGCCCTTCCTCGCCTTTCCTCTGGTTTTCCTGTGGGATTTCTATGGCAGATTGCTTCAGACCACTCCTTTTAGCTGAAAGCCATGCACTGTCCTGAACTAGTCCTGCTGCTCAGAACACAGCCTGCCTCTCAGCCCCTGCACTCCCCTAAGACACCCAGGCATGCAGATAGAGACCCCAGAAGGGCCCCCGCAAGGGCAGAACAAAACCTTCACTAAAGGTTCTTGTTCTTGCAAACTGAAAAACATGAAGATGATATCCACAGGTACCTAATTTTACTGACTCAGACGAGACCCCTAAGATTCCCCTGTTCTACTCCAGCCAGATCCTTAGTTTGAAAGTATTAAGAAAAATACATACCTGATTTTTGGGAAACACTTTTGGGAAATTAAGCAGTTCATAGGCTGCTGTTCTGATAATGAAAGGATCTAAGATTCTGATTTGATATGGTTTATAGATCAGGTTTAAGGCTGGTTTTTTCCAAAAACCATTAGTGTTCTGAAATAAAGCAAGAATATAGAAAATAAGACATTGTGGTTTTCTTTTGTTACAGAAAAAAAAATTAAGGTAATCAAGGAGATCAGTCTTGCCAACTTACTATCTTGCCACCCGTCAACAATTCCCACAGCCACTTTAAATCGTGAGGCTTAAAAGCAGTGAGAATCGCTGTGGTGTTAGGATCATTGTGTTTGGGATCTGAAAAAACAGATTCTGGATAAAAAAGTCGGAAGGTTGTTCTTCTCCCAACTTCCTCTTCGTGTCCTAAAACAGGACCATTATTCATTCTGTGGACAGAAAAACACAAGATATGTAGACCAAGTGCAGTATGAGCCGTTTCCACCAGTTCCCAGAGGTATCTGTCCGACAAACATCTGCCATGTGTCCAGTGCTCTAATGGCACAAGGCAATCAATCTTTCACACATAAGGGCCAAGGAAATAACTCCCTGTCATGAAACAGCTGCTTGATCAAAGCAGAAACTTGCAGTTGTATTTGAAAACTGGTTGTGGCGTTACTGGTAATTCAGTCTTACTCCAGGGACACTGGAGGCAAATAAAACATGGGAACGTAAGAACCACAATAGTAGGGTTAAAAGAGAACTTGAAAGACATCCCAACAAAACACCTTGGATATACAGATAAGAGACCTGAGGTCCAGAAAAAGTTAATTGCCCGAGGTGACACAGTCATGTAGCCCCTGGGCATGTGTCTAAGTGCCTGACAGGCAAGAATCACATTTAAGGTGAAGACCATTCAAAACTGTTATGCTCTGAAATAAAGTAACAATATAAAATTGCTGTATGATACCCAACCACAATCAAACGAATGTCTATTGCTAGAATGAACTAAAGAACCACAAAGAATCGTTGGGTTTGTGTGTGCTCAAAGCCAAGGTTAGGCATGCACTATTTATGCAGACACTATGAAGGCATGCTATAAAGAGGCATGCTTTGTTTCCTAAACAGTGTGCCCTAGGAGAATAAATACTCTTTTACCCTTTGCTACTGTCTGTGTAATAAGAAGACAGTCTTAACACCTGAAATGACTTCGGAATGTTGTGCCCAGGGCATTTTCCCACAAGGGCTTGCTGTAGTTCTAGGTGATCAGGTTTTAGACCAGCGGTTCTCAACCTGTGGGTCGCGACCCCTTTGGGGGTAGAACAACCATTTCACAGGGGTCGCCTAAGACCATCGGAAAACACATATATAATTACATATTGTTTTTGTGATTAATCACTATGCTTTAATTATGTTCAATTTGTAACAATGAAAATACATCCTGCATATCCGATATTTACATTACGATTCATAACAGTAGCAAAATTCAATTATAGGTAAAGAAATATGTATTTCAAAATTGAGCTTCCTCAAAATAGGTAAGAAACAGAAAATAAGGTGACATCACTTGCAAAAGCCTTCGGCAGTTTGTGACCCAGCAAAACCCCCAGGCACTGCCAGGCCATCCCAATGCACTGCTCATGGGAAGCATTCCACTCTTCAAAATACTATTCACAGCCATCCAACACACACAAACTTACTCCAGGGTGATGACCTTCCATTGACCTTTCAATGAGGGAAACTAAAATGTCCTGTTTTTCCCACCACTCCTTGTATGGGACTCTTGGTAGCAGTAAACCACAATCCCAGTTGTCCTTTCCATTATGAATGACTAACAACACCTGTGCTATGGACCCATTCCCCTTTCTTTCCCACGCCAACCTCTTCATTTCCATCAGTATACCAGTGTGCTGTAGAACCTCCTTCTTTATAAAAGAAAACCACACAGGGAATCCTCCTCTGATTCCATAACCATCCCTGGCTACTTCATTTTTCAACTTCAGGGCAAAAGTCCTCAAGCGTTGCCTATACTGGTTTCTCCACTTTCTCGCCTGTTGTTTTCTCCTCAATCCATTCCCATTGGGCTTCCCCCCACTTCAATCTGCTTTGTCAAGAATGTCAGTGAGCTTGAGGCTGCCTGTCCAGGGTGAACTCTGTTTTTATCTTGCTTGGCCTCTCACCAGGTTTGGACATGGCGGTCCCTCCCTCTGTCTTAAAACACTGTGCTCTCTTGGCTTCTGTGATCTCCTGACTCTTCCCACCTCACTGGTGGGTCTTCTCCATCTCTTCTACTCACTCCTTTTCTTTGTACAACTTCTTAACTGTTGAGCACCATAAGGCTCAGTGCTGGGCCCTCTTTACTCTCTCAGTCTCTCCCCGGGAAATCTCACCGGCTCCATGGTTTCAGTACAGCTTATCAGCTCATCAAGACTTACAATGTTTAGCCAACTGCCTACTGGATTTGCCCACTGCAAACTTAACATGTTCATACAGAAATCTTGATTCTCCTCTAAGCCTGTTCCTACCCTAGTCTTCCCCAACTCAATAAATGGTACCACTATCCAGCCAGTCTCTTAAGGTGAAAACCTAGGAGGAGGTATCCCTGGTTCCTTTATTCCCATCTCTGCTCATATCTAATACATTGACAAATCCTGATAACACTGCCTCTAAAACATGGTTCAATCTATCCAACCTCTTACCGCCTCTGCCAAGGCAGCCCTGATCCAAATCCGCATCATCTACCTGAATACAGCCACCTGCCTGGCCTCTTCATTCCCACCCTTGTCCCTCACATTCCAGTGGGCAGGCCTTTGCCAGACTCTTAAAGATAACCAAGTCAACTTGCTCTCTTGCTGAAAAATCTTCAAACATTTCCTGTCGTACTTAAAGTAAAATCTAAGCTCTCATCCTAGTTTACAAAGTCTAATCCCAGCTTACATAGCCTGCTCCTTGCCCACCTCTTTAGCTTCCAATTGCACCCCCTTCCCCAGCCCGCTGCCCTTCCACCTCACTGGTTTTCTTACTACTTCTCTCAAACCCAGGATCATGTCCTCCCGAGGGCCTGCGGTAAACATTCTCTCTGCTTGCATTGCCTTTCCCCGAGCTTCATGTGGCTGGCACGGACGGTTCACTCAGTCCAGCTTAGATGTCTCCTCCTCAAAGTGCTCATCCATCTTAAAGTAGCCACTCAGTCATTCTCTATCTATTTTTAATTGTATGTATGGCATTTATTATTGTATTTCCTTATTCAATTACTTTTGTCTACCCCTCATTAGAATGTATGCTCCACAGAGAAGGAGAGCCTTATTTATTTACTGCTGTATCCCCTGGGGCCAGGACTGCCTGGCATATGAAGGGGACTTAATAAGCATGTGCTAAGTGAATGACCTGAAGTCTCTAGCCAACAACAGAGAGAAGGTTATGTAATGTACTTAAAAATATCAAAGCAACTCCTCTGCCTTTTAAAACACAGCTGTACTCAAGCAGGAAGCCACGTTCTTTTGAAACAATTCCAGTTTAACAACTGAGAAATATATTTACCTTATTATTACATCATAGGAGTCAATTCTTTCTCCTAACGTCTTGTTCTTCAAAACTCCTCCGTTACCAACCACCACGCACCTTTTACATGGCATACTGTTGGGCAAACAGACAAGTGAGAAATTAAGCCATCTGTGACAGAGTGAGTGACTCCCACACCCATTCATACTTTCAGAAACCCAAAGCCACATTTTACTTGTTGCACAAGTAGAAAAAGAACCAGTTGTGACATATATAGGTCTAAGGATGTAATAGAAAGATACAAGATTTGAGAATAACATTGCATAGGAAGTACATCGTCATTAGCAGCTACTAGTATTAACCCATACACATTCCCTTATTTGAATCTCATAACCACCCTTAGAGATAAGTAACCCTGACAGTTCCATTTAACCAAGAAAGAGGTTCAGAAAACTAACATTTCAAAGTCATACTCCAAAGAGATAGAGAACTTTGGATGGAATTTGGATACAGATCTTGGAAACACAAAAACCCCCTTTGATACAGGATTTTGCATGTTAATACTGATGCAAGTGTGTTTATGTTACCCATGTATACATTTTTTTGTCCTTTATTTTTTTCTGTGTCCTTGGGATTTTTTTCTTTATTGATTAAGGTATTACATATGTGTCCTTATCCCCCCATTGCCTCCCACCTCCCTGCTCATGCCCTCACCCCCCTAGTGTCTGTGTCCATTGGTAATGCTTATATGCACGTACACAAGTCCTTTGGTTGATCTCTCCCCCTTCCCCCACCGTTTCTGCCTTCCCTCTGAGATTTGATGGTCTGATCAATGCTTCTCTGTCTCTGGATCTGTTTTTGTTCATCAGTTTATGTTGATCATTATATTCCACAAATGAGTGAGATCATGTGATATTTATCTTTCTCCAACTGACTTAGTTCGCTAAGCATAATGCTCTCCAGGTCCATCCATGCTGTTGCAAATGGTAGAAGTTCCTTCCTTACAGCAGCGTAGTATTCCATTGTGTAGATGTACCACAGTTTTTTAATCCACTCATCTGCTGTTGGGCATTATTTTTTTACCAGCATTACCCATTCCCCTGAGATTCTAGCTCTGGGTTCCTGCTGTATCTTGTAAATGTGGAGATAGACAGAGGGATCAGATGAGGACAGTGCAGCTTCCTTGTACCTGCCCATGCTCACTTAAGTTCCAAACATGTACTGGTCCTTGGAGCTTAACCAATACAAACTAAGAATTCACTCTCTGTTCCCGGCGAAGGGCTGTAAAGCAGGACATGAAGCCGGACTTCTGCTGCTGGCTGGGATCAGCCGAGGAGCACGTACTGTGTCCTGTCAGCTCTCAGCAAACAGCCTGGTCTGTCTGCCTCCTGGCTCCCACCACCACCCAGCCAGGCCTGAGAAATGACAGAACAGATCGAGTCCTTCTCCTCTAGGGGACAAAGCTACCGAGGGGAAGACCGGTGAGACTGTCCTCATGACATGGAATTATAAAGAAAACATTTCTGCCCTGACCGGTTTGGCTCAGTGGATAGAGCGTTGGCCTGCGGACTCAAGGGTCGCAGGTTCGATTCCAGTCAAGGTCATGTACCTTGGTTGCGGGCACAACCCCAGTGGGAAGTGTGCAGGAGACAGCTGGTCGATGTTTCTCTCTCATCGATGTTTCTAACTCTCTATCCCTCTCCCTTCCTCTCTGTAAAAACATCAATAAAATATATTTAAAAAAAAACATTTCCTCTAAGAACTAGGAAATCAGCAGACCAGATGAACTGGAATCTGTCAGGCCCTTAGGAAATTCATGAGTAGCAGAACTGCACAAATGCTTAGAGCAGTTAAACGCAGAGAATGCGGAAGTACAGGAACCACTGCAAAGAGCCAAGCATTGGCCCTGTCAGGTTAAGAAGAAACAATTACACATTCCTATATGCATGAGATTACCGTTTGGACTGAGAATATATTTAGCTCATCTATTTTATGTGTTTAACACTACATATTCTAAGAATATTTTTACATTTTAATTTGAAACTTAGTGCCCAAAGTTAAAGAGTCATGTCCAAATCAGTGTCTACTCTGTCACAAAAACAAGTATTGTGGAGGGTCTGGTGGGCGTGTCCAACAGGCCTGAGGACCCGCCCCAAACCTCCACCATGGGCATGTCACAATGCGTTCTAGAGATGTTTCTTCTAAAAATGTCTGTCTTTAACTGTGAAAGTAACATCTCCAGGTGCTTTTCTATGCACGCTTGGCAGCCATCCTAATTCCAGGAAGGCAACCTTATGCGCAGCAGGTGGAGGAGCTGGGAGCCCTGGCAAACAGAGCGCTTCCCTCTCCAGGCATATGGCCATCGTGCTCACCAGGCCCACCCCCTGAGTGCTCTGCCGCAGGGGCAGTTCCCACACACAGGCTTATCTGGCCTTTCCTGCCATAACTTCTGGGTCAGCTTAATGCACATTGGAGGCTGAATGTTAAAGCTGGCTCCACCACCCCAGTGGAATGCTAAGCAGATGGGGCAACGGGGAGGAAGTGGCCAGAAAGGGACAGGATGGAAATGACAGCTCTGCTCCTGACAGATAAGTCCCAGTGGGATGGAGGAGGCTTCTCTACAGTTATGGTAGCTAGACTAGCGCTGTCCTTTGAATGAAGGCTGGAGGCCACTTCCCTGTCAAAGGCCACCTAAGGCCAGGTGGCCCCGGGGCTACAGCTTCCATCCTGGCACGGGGATCCCAGCCTGACCTGACTCCATACCCAACATGCCAGGACAAGAACTCCGGCCTCAGAGTTCTTATCCTGGAGTCTCAACAAAGGATTCCGACCCACAAACCTAGTCTCTGAAGCTAACACCAGTAACAGGTTAACTCAGCTCAGTTCTAGACACAGCCAGTCACATAATCACTGCTCAGCAATGGACAGGCCAGCTGAGCCTCTGTGTTCACTGGAGTCCCTTCAGTATTAGCTGGAGTCTCAGACTGGGTTACAGCTGGTCATGGAGCCCAGGAGCATGTGCGGACAAGAGAGCCCCACGTAACGCATACTACTACCTGTCATACTAATACGTCCCACCCCTGGTCCCCACTCAAGGCCATGCACCTCCTCCTACACCACACCTTCCAGCCAAGACAAAATGGGGGAGTGGAGGGCTGCAGGCAAATCTCTTTCACTTTTCCTCCTGGTAAGGGATATTGCAAAGACCCACACATTTTCCTGGGGATTCTATATAACACTAAGAATGGTTTGGCGTTATCCTTAGGACTACCCTTTGGCAATATCTTTTTAAAATTGATTTTAGAGAGAGAGAGGAAGGGGAAGTGGGGAGAGAGAGAAACATTGATCAGTTGCCTCCTGTATGTGCCCAACCAGGGATCGAACACCCAATATAGGGTATGTGCCCTGACCTGGAAACAAACCCAAGGACCTTTTGTGATACGGAAGGTGCTCCAACCAACTGAGACACCGACCAGGGCTGGCATTAATGGCTTATCTACAGCTGGTGTTCACAGTGCCACTATGACTTGTAAATATGTGCTATACGTATGCATGGTCTGAACCACACACCTTGCAGCTCATTGCTTCCCTCTCCCCAGCAGATACCCATATCCGACTAAAGGAGTCATTCGTCCTCTCCTTGGTTTCATCCTGTTGGTCCAGGCTCCCGTTCTTCCTAGTCCTGAGGTGTGAAGCAATAGCTTGCAGTGTCCCTGGGATGTCTGTGTAACTCCACCACATTCAATTAGCACAGCCTTCATGCACAAATAGCTGCAGTGAATGTGAGCCTCTAGAGGCCAGAATGGTGTCACTTCTATTTCTGTACTCTCCAACCTAAAGCATCCGACTCACAGGCTGTGCGTTTAGAAATTGGTTTGGTTGTTACATTAAGTGTGGCGGTCACTTCCCGACTTTTGAGTCTGGAGAAGCAGAGAGC